GCATTGTACGAAACAGGGTAAGAGCGATGAAGTCAGAAGCAAGTAGAATGAGTAACCTTTTGAAACATACACTGAGGAGACAATGACAGCTCCAAGGAGAAAACTGAAGAGAAAACCTTGAGAACCGATGGATATGATGAGAAAAGAGCATGGAAAACTACAGCTGGGATTTAAGCCTCCTTGATGGATGAAACTATGGTGTAGGTTAGACAGGCTGAGAAGTGTTTACGGGGTTTAAGTAGCGGCGTCTACTGTGTACACCGAGCTGAAGGCATCAGCAGGCTTTCTGGGAGCAAACACACATCGCACAGTTACGACGTGGGCATTTCACCCTCTCATTCCTCACTGCTGGCTCTATGCTCAGTGCCCCAAGATGAACGAGCTAGCATCCCCGAGCTCACAAAGCATGCAGCGTAGCTGAGATGAGCATCATGAGTATGGATAATCCAACCACGGAGCATGCTCAGGCAGTATGCAGGCCACACAAACACGAAGCTCAGAGGAGTCGGGGACGTTTCTGGGAGCAGGGAAGCCATGGAGTAAGATGTCAGAGAGGAGTGGGATTGATAGATGGGGATGAGAGGACAGTGCAGGAGAGGATCCTCGCCTCCTGGAGAAGAATGGAAGCATGGAGGTGAGAAACTCCGGCCGCACAGTGTAGGCTGTGGATTGGGAAGCTGGGGCCGCAGCTTCTCGACCCTGCTGTGTGCCTGCGTGAAGACCGAGCAAGAGGCTGAAGAATGGATCGCTCTGAAAACACCGAGACAGGGAAGGAGCAGCTGCTGAAGACTTTTAAGCAGGGGAATGATTAGGCAGCTTAAATCCGGGAAAGAGATCTGGGCTGGACACAGAGACACTGCATTTGCTACAGACTGGGATAAAGCAAATTCCTCCACCACATGTGTGCCCTGAGGAATGACTGGACGCTTTGTCTTCTAACTTCATAAATAAGTTGTCACCTCATGATGTATGCAATTGAATGCTGTTTATCTATGGCAAGTTCATGATTAAAGGTAAAGATAACACTTATTTCAATTAATGTGTCATTATACAGTTCTTAGTTTATAAATTTTCCTTAGCCAGGTGTGGATGTTAGTACATGGCTATAATCCCAGCAATTCTGGAGGCTGAGTCAGGAGGATTGCTGAGCTTGAGGCCAGGGAGCTCAAGTCCAGCCTGGGCTATACAGAGAGACCCTGTCTGAAAAAAAAAAAAAAAATGTGTCTGCCTCTTTAGCTATAGTGCAAACTTCATTTTGACCTAAAATTAAAATAAATAAATATATATATATATATATATATATATATAAATAAAATATTTGTTTTCCTTTTTGTCTTTGTTTTTGTTCATTCATTAAACATTTACTGACAAGCCACAGCGTCTCAGGTGCACTGGGCTGCAGGGAAGGTGGCACAGAAGAAGACGAGACTGCACTTTAAGAGCCCACGGCCTTTTGGAATAGTCAGGCAAGGAATGAAGTGAATTTTACAGAGAAGTTCTGCGTGGCTGTGGGGACACCAGAAGACGTGACTTTGACAGGAAGACTGGTGGAGGAGATGGCATCTGAGCAACACCTTCAAAAAACAAAACAGAGACTAGACCAACATCCCTGAAACTGATACCACACTTAGATGGGAGACTTGTGTGGCCCAAGGACCCGTCCATGTTCAGTTCTATTTTCCACAGATGATCAGTTTTATGTGGTTCTTCCTGTTCTTACATTTCTGAGTTACTGGAAATGTGTCGGTATATACCCAAACTTGATTTAACAATCAAAATAAGGACACAATTCATTGGTAGCTCTCCTTGCACTAAATCACACCAATGAACAAAACACACAGGCTACCATGTCACACCTGGCTGATGGGCACCTTTCCTTGGTCCCAAGGCAGCTGAGGCAGGACAGCCTCCGACCCTAACAGCTTCCCCTGCAGGAGCTCATGGCGTGGGGACAGCAGAGGGCCCAGGACACTAGATACACTCACTTCGCCAAGACATCCTGCCAAATCATCCGTTACCTTTGCTTGGACTTTATGACTGTATCCTAACAATGAAAAATACCAACAGTAAGTTTCCATCTGCAGCTCTGAGGCCCTCTGGGCACCCTAATATAACATCTTTGCGTGTGTGACAGAGCGCAGTGCATAAGCTTGGTGCGCACATCCTGCTTCTTCAGCCAATCTTCCAGCCCTTTTTGAAAACATCTTTCCTTTTTCTATGTATGGGACTTAATGTTCTTAGGTTATTAATATAATCAAGCTTTACAATTTCTAGATGCCAGAAATTGGCTAGAATCTGGTCATAACATCTGAATTACTATGATTTGCCTGGACCATTTATATTTAATTAAGTTTATCTGATTTGGAATTTTCCAACAAAATTTTAAGAAACAACTCACTTTCTTGTTTTTTCTAAAAGATACCTTCCTTTGAATTTTATTTTCAATTTCTTCTGGTACATCAGTCTAGCCCCCAAAATTTTCTCCTTAATTTTTTCTGATTCTGTGTTGTTAAATAGTTTAAAAGAATGTAAGTAGGCCATTAAATGACTATTTGACTACTTCCTTCACTTTGGGAAGTCAGACTACTATGAAAATTATTTCAACTTTCAATATTTTCTTCTACTACAGATTAAAAAGGAAACCACATTAACTTATATCATAGTGATCTGGTAACGCTGCTGACATCAGGGGTTATATAATATAAAAATAATAGAAATTAACTTTCTGTCTGACACCTCACTTCACTTCCATCAGTATTTCCCCCGCATGTTACACTCAGGAAGAAGGTTCACCATCAGGACTCTGCGATCCTACCTCTCATCGAGAACAAACCTGATGGCTGTAATTAGAGTGCACATGAGAGCCGGGGATATAGCTCAGTGGCTCAAGTGCCTGCCTGGCAAGCACAAGGTCCAGAGCTCGATTCCTGGTACCCCCGCCCCCAAAAAATAGAGTGCACATGAATGAGTGAAAGGACCCTCTCTCATGTGTTTTGAATTTTATCAGCCTTCCTTAATGAGTCTTTTCTTTCCTGAGGGTACTAAAGGGATGAAATCCCATTTGTGTTTATACCTGGTGAGAACTGTCTTAATACATCATTTTCCCCTTTGTATTATTTGGAAAGCACCTGAGTGTACCAGAAGCTTTTTCTTCTTTCTTTATGTGGCCTTTCCTCTGCTTTTTCTTCTGAAATATGGACATCCTCTCTCCAGTAAACATCCCCACATCTATCCCTACAGTTCACTATTCTGACAGAACCTCAAGCTAACTCCATGAACTTGTTTTGTGACTGGAGGTTTCTTTCCACAAGTTCCAGCTTCTAGCAACAAGTAAAAACCAAGACTGCAAGAGAGAAGAGACACATAGTCAATAAGCCTTTCAGTAGATCTCTGAATCGTGCTAAACAGTCCTTAACAATCCTTTAAAAGGCAGTGTATAAATCAGGCCTCCTGACGCATGCCTGTAATCCCAGTACTGGGAGGCTGAGGCAGGAGGATCCCATTGAGTTCAAGGCCAGCCTGAACTACACAGTGTGACCCCAGCTGGCTGTTCATGCACAGACTCTACCCACAGGCCCCATGGCCCTGCAGCTCTGGTGGCCTTTGGCCAGTGGGGACTCCTAGCAGGACTGCATCTGCTCCTTGCCCTTTGGACCTGAAGATATTTAATGGCTCTGATGTACTAGGTCACTACACCAGACCTATGTTTCCCTATAACCACATCTCTGTGAGTAGTCTAACTAGGGATGATCAAAGCAATGTTTCTCATGGGCCGTTTGTGTCCCTGGGCTCTGACTGAAGTGGGTAATTACATTATGTTCATGTTAGCAATGAAGTTTAGAGTGTTCATGCACCATGGCCATGGCCACCTTACTAATTTCTGTTTAGTGTGACTCAAACTGCCAGATCACTGCCAAAGTTGGGTGCACTGGCACACATCTATGATAGCAGTACTTTGGGGTGCAGAGGCAGGAGGACTAGTGTGAGCCTATCTCAAAATTAAAAAGGAGGGGTGGCTGCAGGTAGTCCTTGGGCTTGATCACCAGAATCAAAGATAAAAAGCAGTTCTTTCCACTCCAGTTGTTGCTGCCTCCCTGTTAGGAAACTACGCCTAGGAACTACGCAGCGTAAGAACGCCACAGTCTTCACAGCATCTGAAAGAAAATGGGGCAGCTCTGAAAAATTTCACATGAGGAATCCATCAAGCGAACCAACAGACCCAATGCTGAATGTGCAAGGTACTATGGATACACAACACATCAAATCAAGTTCGATTCCATTACTGTGCACCAGCTTCCATAGCCAGCCAGATCATTCTCAGCTTCTTTTTAGAAAGTATATAAAGTGCAAAACCCTATACTCAAGTCTTCCCTAAAAGACCCTCTGCGTGAGTACAAGAATTGGGCATCAAAGGTGGGGCAAAATTCCAGTGGTCTATTGCTCCTGTTGTTTAGTACGGAAAAACAATGCTTTTACATTTTGATACAGCTTTAATAATACAGCTGGGCCAAACAGAATAAAACCAACATGCACCTCCATGACAGTCTACACTGCAGCTCATGCAGATAACTCTAAGATGGAAGAATGTATTCTCTGACTTCCCATTCTAAACTCTCACAAACCAGAGGTGGCTACAGACAGAGTGCATTTCTTCAGGGTTAAGATCTGCTTTTCTTCAGTTCGTCTAAATTAATAGCATTTAACTGTCACTTTTTTCATTAAGCTTACTGAAATAAAATGACTACTACTGATGATAAGCTAAGTGATCAAATAATAACAATGTCACTACTATCTCATCTGTGGAGAAGACAGTAACGTGTAAATGTCAGCATTTAGAAGCCAGGTGTGGTGGCACACACTTGTATTCCCAGCACTCAGGAGGCTGAGGCAGGAAGAATGCTGTGAGTTCGAGGCCAGCCTGGGCTACAAAGTAAGTTCAAGGCCAGCCTGAACTGCATAGCGAGACCCTGTCTCAAAAAAGATTCAGCATTTACACTTACACAAAGAAGAACCGTGTGCAAACATGATCTGTATTTGGGACGACCCAGATTTCTCCGTGTTTGTGCAGGTCGGGTGAAGTGATCACTGGAAAGGAAAAGGCAAAGTCAAACAACTGCTTTATTCTGGAAGGAATCCCACTTCTTTAGACTATATTCCTTCTCCCTGAAGCCTGACTAAAAACACATACACAAACAAAAGTGAAAAACATCCTTAACCTAATTATCTATAAAGAACTGCAAACAAAAGCAATGAAAAGCCATTGAACAACTTTATATTTGAGTAACACTTGGTATAACAGGAAGCAAACTACTTGAGTATTATCAAAGACAAACAAGTTCTAACTTGCAAATTAGGCAGACATCAATTTAGCATCCTCTATAACTATCAAGTGTTCAGAACTTGAAAGACGGTTGACAGTGGCTACTGAAACAGCTAACCCAAGAAGAAAAACATTTAGCCAAAGTCAAATTTTCAAGTAAAAAGAAAAGTATACACACTCCTTCAAACTACCTATCAATTTTCTGTCCTAAGCTCAGAATGCAAGACTAGTTTTGGTGTAGGGGCAGAAAGTCCTATGAGGTTATCTTCTCAAAGTCTGACTCACTCTTCAAGATTTTCATTGCAACGTATGTTCAAATACTGACTTGGAGAGGAAGGTAGCACATTAATGAAAGAGATAAATAAGCATTACTTGATCAGAAAAAGATATCATATCATTCTGAAATATCTACCAGGAATAAAATATAGCAGTGTCTGAATTCCTGCCAGTTTTGCAATTTGGTTTTAACCTTCGTGATCTCTACTGTACTCATCTTCCATTTGTGCCCTTCGAGATGATCACAGAGAAAACGCTCTCACTATCCCATCGGTAACACTCCGTAAATATACTTGAATTCTCAGACACAGGTAAGACAGAGAACTGACACCGTGCTACTCACCTTCACATAAGGCTATGCATTTTAAGTTACGGCTTTGCAGGAATTGGGATTGCTGTCCTTTTTTCTGTGACTAAATTCCAAAACAATTTAAAAATTAGAGTAAAAATGGGGCAGTCACTCTAATGAAAAAATTTTTCATCATTAAAAAATAAGTCACTAAGATGGTTCCAGGAAAAAAAACAGCCTAGATTAGCATCAATATCCTTGTACTCTCTAATTCTTAACATCTATTTTTGTTGTACCATTTAATTTGGGTATATAATTATTAAATCACTCAAAAAAAAAATCAGTGAACTGAAATAATGCTAAATTAGAAACCAGTAGTCTCACAATATACAGCTTTATATCTGTTAAAAGCCGGGCATCTTTCTTTAAAAGTAAACAAAATTAAATTTTTATGATGTTTTCAAACATTAAAATCCATTAAAACCATCCCAGATCATATAATGATCGTAAGCCACCCCATTTTCACAGCATATTTACTGAGCCACAAAAGTTTCAAAAAGATCTCATGTAGAAGACTAACAGTGTTTTGGGCTTTTGCAATAAGACACAAAATTAGCCATACTGTTTTGTTTTTTGTAAACTGAAACTCAGACTACTCATCAGACAGACTTTTAATCTACCCAGCATTTATTTGTCTTCTTTGAAACAACATGGAATTTGCGCTCACTCTTTTCTCCCAGAGAGCCACAGGGCTTCTGCCCTCACCAAGTACAGGGCCTTACATAAATCTCATTTCTCAGCGAACGCTTTCCTGACTGTCCCGCGCAACATCCACTCCTGAGCCCTCCTCCACCCTGCAGCTTCAAATATCCTTTTCTCTAACCTATTTCCCTTCACCATCTGGCCTTCTGCTTAAATATGTTTCTAATTTGTTTGTATACCCGCAGTGGAATGTAGGATTCAAAGACGGCTGGAATATTTGTCTGGTTTTGGGCACTACTGTCTCCTAATGCCTAGCAGAGTCTCTGGACTTGCAGCTGACAGACCAACAAATGCCTAATTATGGTGTAAATGCAATTACTTATTGAGTGAGCTCTACTCCTTTATGAATAATGACTACTTAAAATAACTTTTAGCAAGACTTAATAAACATGAGTATTTATCAGAGTCTTGCTGGCTAATGAGTCCATGGCTCCCTATTTCCGTACAGTCACATGAGTGGTTACAACACCTGTGATACACTGCTGTTTTTACTGCTTGAAGCGGGCTCGTCCTTGGCTGACACCTTCTGCTTCTTGTTCATCCCTAGAAACATCAGCAAAATAACAACTTCAGGACAAAGCTATGTGATGAGGCTCCAAACACAACCTATGTGTGCTGCAAAGTTCTAGGGCAGGCAGAGGTCTGATCGCTTCAGGCCAGAGGAAGGGCTGCTATGTTCAAGAATCTGGGGTGAGCAGAAGGGGAGGGTCCCAGCAGCGTGAGGATAATAGAGTCTGAGGTTGCTTTTCTTTACATTTTAAAATTAGGGACAGCTTTTGCACAAAATTAATACAATTAGATAATCCTTAAAACTTGACTCTAAAATGCTTAGGCAGAATTAGCTTTCATTCTTACGATCTGCTTAGAATAAGGAGATAAGGCATAAGAAATATGAGCAATGTCAGAAAAATGTTTCTCCACCACAATTTTGTTATTTGTTGATAAATACACAATTCTGCGTAGAGTGTACCATTTCTTCTAATTAAGAAAAACTAGTGTAACTTTTTTGTTTGTGATAGTCACAAAGCTTAGCTTACTCTGTTAATGCTGTGACTTGTTACTGTGAGTTGAGAAAAGCACATTGGTAGATTTGTATGTAGACTTTATTAGAAAGTATGCATCTACTTTCACACTAGAAATCAGCATATAGCTGTTTTTTTTAAACTATTGCTATTTTAATAAATGGCTTAATGACAAAGAGCAAAACCCATTTATCCATCTGTGAAATGTTTACCTAACCCTTTCCAAATTGGGCACTTCCCCAAAGGGTACAACCTGCCTACAATTTCAGACACCCACGTCTGCTGGAAAGGCAACTGGTACTGCGGCAGGCCTGTTTCCAGCAGGACCTGTTTCGTTCTCTGAATCTGCCCCTTCAGCCCTCAAGCTAACTGCAGAAGTGGTATTAACTTGCAGTAGCGATTTTTACTTTTGTGTGCAAGTGCTGCTGGGAATTAAACCCAGTGCTCACACACACATACAGGCAAGCTTGACCACGGAGCTACACCTTCAGCCTAAGACTCTTACATTTCTGCAGATCAAGAGCCCTTCCGGAAGCTGACATAAGCTGTGGACTCTCCCCTGACAAACAGAGACCAACTATGCACCCCTTCAGAATCTGCTCCGCCCCCAGTCCCTCCCATGAAGCCAGCTAGGGAGACTGCACACCAGGAGAAGGGGCACAGTATCGCAGCAGTTAATGATTTGTGGTGCTTTTTATGTACTAGGCTGAGGATATATTTACTTAAATGGCTTTTTTTTTTTGGCTTTTTAATTTGTAATATTTCAGTAAAATTTGCAGTCTGATTTTACTTATTTTCTATTTAAACTAGAGTCCTACCTTGCTACTCAACAGCTTGGAAAAAACGAATTTTGTACTAGATGAATTTTTACAGGAAAATTTGGTCTCAGGGCTGCTCCTTGGTTTGTTACTCAACCCACAAGCTAGAGCTTGTCAGTGTCGATTATTTCATGGCTCACTGCCCTTTACATCCAAAGCAATTTGTTTGGTGCTCATCACTTTTGGTATTCTTGCCTCCTCCTGGAATCAATTATGTATGTTATTCCAGTTTTTATCTCTGTCCTGTCTTATCCGTTCTGGTATTTGTTTTTAAAAAATCACAACAACAGTACTTCTGAACAGATACACCCTGCTACACTGAGGGCCGGTTTCCAATTCCCCAACTCTTGACTATGGAAAGTCCTGTGACTGCTCTAACCAGGGGAGTCTACGGACACTGAGGGCAGCTGATCTCTGCAACAAGATCAGAAAATGCCAGCCAAAATCGATCTTAAGTCTGTAAGGACACACTGGAGCAGTCCAGGTAGGAAGTCCAGCTATCCTGCATCTCCCACACTGCACAAGCTGCTCTAGGAGCCGGGGTGTCAGGTACAGCCCCTTCCACTAAGGCACCTGGCCTGTGAGGCAAGGGACCCCAGACTGCTCACCCCACCCATCCACCCACTGACTACCACTCGGTGGACACTCTGAGGAGCACCACCATCCAAATTAAGGATGACATGCTTTACAGCGGTTGTTACTTTAGTAATCATCGGTACTTAAGGCTCCTTTTCAATTCTCCATGGCAGATTTTATTCTAGCTTTTCTTTTTTCCTGTTATTGTACAGTCCTTTAACTCAGTATTTTATTTTACTTTTCACCATGATCGTTGTTTTCTCTTCATGTTTCTAATTATAAATTTAATTTCAAGTGTTTCAATTTTACTCCAACATCATTGAGGAAGATGATGTTATGGTTGAAAGAATATCAACTTTGGTGGCTGAATTAAGACAGGTAGGTCTGGCTAACATTCACCTAGTTACTGGACTTCACTGAGTGTCCTGTCCTATAACATGAGGACACCAAGATCTACTGTTCAGGGACCATGTGAACAACATCTCTAGAACTGGAAAGTGATCACATCTCACATACACTTACACACAAAAATCCAACTGTATGTGCAGCTGGAGGGAATATAAACGCACATAACACATGAAGGAAAACATACCAAACACTGAGTTGTAGGTAATGAGGACAATTTTCACTCGTTACTTTAAAATTGGGTGCAGTCTGAATCTCTGCAATGAGCATAATTATTTTAAACATAAAAACAGGGCCAAGGATATAGCTCAGTGGCACGAGCACCTGCCTGGCAAGCGCAAGGTCCTGAGTTCGATTTCTGGTACAAAAAAAACCCATAAAAACATGTAAGAAAGCAATAATCACTAATTCCAACAACCAACGCCATAATTTGATGATAATCTTTTCCACATTTTGAACTTAACAATTTCTCCCTCAACACTTTCAATCGATCCCAAAAAATTTTCCCCACACCATCAACAAAATATTAGCAAGAAGCTACCATTGGGCTTTGTTTCTGCTTCTGCTGTTCATCAAATGAATTTAGTACAAATATATGCAATAAACCTCAGTCGCATGATAGAAAACTGCCTCAAATACCTAACAATAAGAAAATAAGACCCTCATACATCTGAAGTTAGAAATAAGGATTACCTGAGTAACCAAACGATATGCTTGACATCGGGCTAAGATAGATCCCACTTCCATACATCGCACCATGGAGCTACAACGGGAAGGAACCGGGGAGAGGGGTCAGTCAATGGCTTATAAATATTATTCCACAGACAAAGGCACTAAGTTTCATGTTAGAACATTAAATCTTAGAAAAATGATAATGCTCCTAGTTAAGGTCTAATTTAAAACAGTACTAATATTCTGTTGCTTAAAATTCAGAGTGAGTTCATACATGAAAAAAGACAGTCAAAGGAAAAAGAGCCTTTATGAATGTTTTCTTCACACCAGTGATAGCTCCTTACTCTAAAGCACTCTTGTAGATTTTTATTCTAATGAAGCTAAAATTCTGAAAACAGAACTTGGTGAAATACACGGGAAAGCATTTTGACTAGGACTTCCACACTGGCATATGAACAAAGTATCTATTCAGACTGTCATTATATGACACTCCGTCAGCCCACTCCTGGTGTCCTTCAAATTTTCACTAGCTGAATTTCTTCAACTGGTCAAAGGAAACTATTTACAACAGTTAATTGTCCTTTCTTATTACCTCTATCCTAAGGCCCGCAGACCTTGTTAGTATGAAGTGAGTACTAATTCCACAAATGTGCACATATGGAGATTTAAGTGTAACCCATCGCTTCAAATGCAATTGTGTTATGACGTCTAGCTCAGGGCTGTGGGTTCAGCTTCTCATTGCCAAATGCCCTTACATTGTCCAGTGAGAAACTCAGGCATAGGAGCATGAAGTGGAATGTGCAAGACGAAGGGCGAACACAAAGATGAGGACAAGGAGGAGGACTGTTGCCACAGTACCCACGACACCAAGCGCTGCCTAGAGGCCAAAACGCAGGTACGAGAAGGCTCTTCACTATCCAATCTCCATTCTGCTTACTCCTAAATTTTCTTTTCCGAAAGGATTCACACTGAGACCCAGTACTCGAGAAATGTACCCTGGACTCCTGGGCAGAGTTCCTGTACGGGTTTATCTTGTGCATGCTATTTTTTTCTACTTTAGTTCAAAGTGTAACCTTTACTGTTGTCTTCATAGGGAACTGACCTTTCTTCTTCCTCTTCTTTTTTCTCTCCCATTATGTATAGATCAATTTTGCTTCAGGTATTTTGTAAAAATGTATGAAACCTCACAGGCTTCTCCTTTTGAAAGTACACATGTCTCAGCAGCTTGCATACTGAGCCTCAGTGCTGGAGAACCACGGGGTTCACTGAAGCATCGGGAAACTTACCTGCAGACGTGTATTCGAGGCGACAACCAGTCCGTTCCTCAGGATGGAGTGCCAGTTCTCAATGTGTGAGCCACTGCAAGGAGAGGACAGGGCAAAGGCACAGTCAGAAAATCAATTTTCTTTGAAAATGGTCCTTTAGGGGGAAAGGGACAGAGGGAGAGGGAAAAAGCAAGGGCAGGGGATGAAAAGAATTAAGGTGTGTCATGTACCCACACGGAATCGTAATCATTATGCACTGCAAATAGGTACCAATAAAGAAAAACCGGAAATAAAGTAAAGAGGCATTCTGAGTTTCCCAGGCAAGTATTACTACACAGCTGACAAATCAATGCTTATGGCAACCGCTAAGAGAGCAAGTCTTCTTCCCCAGCATTTTTGGAGCACAACCCCACTAACATTAAGCCATACTCACTGAAATGCAAAGGTGCTTCCAAAGAGTTTTTTAGCAGCTCTAAAATTGGATTCTTTGGCTGGTGGACTGCTGAGAAGAAGGAACTGGTGGGGGGTATGCATAAACTTCAATTGCTGTCATTGAAAATAATGACAAATGAAAACACATCAAACTTAGCATGTAAGGGGGCTAATGACAATTTCAAATTTTACTGGGTTAAGAAGTAACTCATTTCAAAATATAATAATTTGACACTAATCTATTAACAGATTAATTCAATATATACATTTTAAACCCTGCATACATGGTCACTTGGAATTGCTGGTGCTGCCAAGGACGATTTTTCAGGTTAATGGGAACAAAATAACAGACACACAATGCAAAGTCACTTATGTTCAGATTTGGAATGCGCTATGTGATCATGTCAAAAAGATGTGCTTTCTGAATTATGTTTCTTTTTATGACTTTTATTACTGAGTCCCCTAGCTATTTGACTGAGGAAATATTCTAGAGTGTGCTAAAAGAACAGAAAATTTAAGACTTTAAAACTGTAAAAATTATCACTATGCTCTATTTGCATGTATTTATAAATTGGAAATTACCTACATTCATACTTAATTTTCCTTTTTGGTCATGGAAGGAAATCAAAGCAGAACCTTTTGGGCTAATTGCCTGACAAAATTTTCTAATGACTGCCCTTTCACCTAGAAATACACAGGAATATAATACACAGGAATCTCACATTTGGAGATTCACAGGGGAAAAGATTTTCAAACAATACTTGCAGGTGGCAATAACTGAAATCAGAGTGCATTAACAGTTTTTAATTGTCACTTTCAAGCTAATTAGGCTGACAAGTGAGTTACCTACAGTCTTACATGTGGAAAGGTAGAAAAAAAAAGGTAGAGTGTATCAACATAAAATAATGATAAAAAAGAACACTGATTTTCCTTTGATCAATTCCTAGATAATACTTTTTATCTACACTTGTGGAATGACTGAATTATACCACATGGACATTATGTATCTCAAAAATCAAGGCAGCAGTTTAAGTTTCAATTTGGTATCTTCAAAAGGTTTGCAGCTAATCTACAAATAGCAATTTCCAACTGAAGAGCTAGACTTAACCTGGGTTTACTTCCATTCTTGGAAAGGTTACATTAAAAATCACAAGGATCAGTTTTCTGAACTAGTAAGCACTCCTCCCACTTTGGTGTGTATATTAGGCAGAAGAAAACTTACCCTGTTGACTGGCAGTTTCACAATATGTGACCTATTACTTGAAATAACCCTGAAAGTAAAGCAACCAGTCAGTCACAAATATACGCCAAATATATTTACAGTTTTTCTCTGTAGTTGGCAAGCAACTATAACCTACTGTTGCTGTGCTATAAATTAAATTCAGTAATAATTTCATTAAATTACATAATTTTGGTTTACTATCTGAAACAATTTAGAGAGTCTATGTAACAAAAGGGATCACTTAATCTGAGAAAATGCACTGGGAAGTAGTTTCTTAAAACTTACAAAGATAGTTTTTAATAGGCACAGCCTCCAACATCAGAAAAACGAACATTTCTAGATATGCGGTACTTTCAAATGATGTTAATATACACAAATATTAGCGGTTGATTCCTGCATCTGTTTCTTTTGCTTTTCTCTCTTGCCTAAATTAAGAATGAGCGCTTGTGAAGATTCCTATCTGAAGATGCCTTTGGGTGGAGAGACATATATACCTATCTATAACAGTTTACATGCAAAAGTCAACATATTTGAAGCTGAAAAAAATTAAATTTGGTATCTGGAAAAATATGAATTGTTTTATGGATTTTTGTTATTTAAAGGAGTGAGTAGAAGCCAGGAACATAGCTCCGCGGCACAAGTGCCTGCCTGGCAAGCGCAAGGTCCTGAGTTCAATTCCTGGTACCAAAAAAAAAAAAAATTTACTCCGTAAAGTAGTGAATAGAGAAGACTGCAGAACATTTTGGAAGATTTTCTTCTCCCTGAGAGAATAGAGTGACTGACAGGTGGGAGGAGGATGATATACGAATGACCATTTATACTCAGGCTTAGTTCAGGGAGGAAAAAGTAATAGATAATTAAGATTTCTTATGTCTGTTTTGAATTTGACAATGAGAAAATTTAAAAGGTTAAAAGACGAAACTTCTTTTTTCTTAGTTTGCCAGAACTTGAATAATCATAACAAATTAGAAAGGGTTTCTATACCAATTTTAATCATGGTCTTGTCGGATTAAATATATAGTATAAAACTGCAACTAAGAGGGCGGAGGGCAGAAAGGGAGTAAATGCTGGTCAGATGCAGCACGTGAGGCACCAGTTCTCCAGGATGAATCTAATTATTATGTATTACAGTAATATGCTAATTTTCAATACTCTAAAAAGAAAATCACCTAAGTGAAAGTTAAGTAATCAGAACCTCATGAAAGCCAGATTATTTTTCTTTTCCAAACATTTCATTAAAACTTCTTGGTTGCAACATGGAACGGCAAGTTCATCCGTTCCGCTCTCTCAGAATTCACATATCTGTGTCTTTATATAGCAAATAGTGGTAAATGCCACATTTCAAAGTTACATTCAAAGAGACATGTCCACAACACCCTTAGAGACCTTTACGGACTTCATTTTACAAAAGAGAAACGAGAGGCCGCGTTTTTTGCAGTAGCAGAGGGCAAATTATTTTGAAGCGGGTATTGCAGAAAGGTGGGTCTCGGCCAAACCAGCACTATCTCCAGGCTCACTCTGAAACAGTGTGTCTTCTGCAGTGACCCAACAGCGTCAGCCAAATTTATACTGCCTGTGTTCAGGAAGCGCAATATACCAGACATATTTCAAATTTTAAATAAAAGGGATTGATTAGTCCGCTATGAACGAGAAAATTAAATGAACCGAAATGCTTCCGACACATCATCTAGTTCATCACGTCCTGTAAGACCACAGACAAGCTGCTGTCAAAGGCGCTGCGTACCTCTGGTAGTGCGCATGACAGCATTTTCTTCCCCTTGTGATGTACAAGTTTTAATTAAAATGAGAGTCATTAAGAACTCTTGGATTGTAAATTCACCAGGTCTCATAAGCTTGTAGCACTGCGGGGCTTATAAAATAGGCTAAGCAAACAGTAGCAGAAAACGCTGCTTTCGTTAAGAGAAAAACTTTAATTTTATACCATTGCAGTAAAGGATGTGCAAGGGGGTCCTGTTTATCCATCTGCTTCTTGATTTCCAGATATGGTGCCTAAAGGGGAAAAAAAATACATTATATGCCTTGATTTCTCTTTAAAATTCACTTTTCCCTTCCCACAAAAGGAAAATCGGACTGAGTGACACAGCTAATCTAGTTAAAATTAAAAATTTCTGGCCCTGACATAAAAAACCAGAAGGCCTCTTATTTGAAATGGGAGAGGGCGAAACACTTGAGGGGGTATCCAGAAAGGCTGGCCAAGCCTTCAAGCCCCTTCTCTCTCCTTCTAGACCCAGGCTGGACCAATGCTGTGTCTGCCACGGGGCTCACCTGAAACAGTGACCCTAGTCACATCCCCAAGGCGATGGGAACTGTGATCTTCCACGCGGCACCAAGGACGTGCCACACAGGGTTGGGCCCCTAAACACCATCCTCCACCCCAAGATCTCTGTTAAGTCTTGAGAAAAGATAAAGCTGACAAACTAAAAACTGCACACTGTACTGGAACCCAATCCTCCGGTATTTTCAGTAATTCTCTACTTAGCTTTGTAATTTTCCACTTGCATGCAAGTCCTCTAGCCCTTTCTTCTTGGTTCCCACTTCTTTCCCCAGCTTCCTCCCTTTTACCTTGCAAAGCCCCTTTGTCTTGGCCAGAGGAGCTAAGTTCATGCTGCAGCCTCCCTGCCCACTGCCATCCTCCGGAAACAATCTGTCTTGCCCCTTTTAACAAGCCTGCAATATTTCCCTCTGACAATGACCACCTTAATTTCAACTATCAACAAAGGAACTTGTGAAAACAACTACTCATGCTCCTCTATGGGAGATATAAACTTAGGTAGAGATCTTTCTGTAAGAAGACGGGACACCATTTACGTAAGAACCCTTTTCTAAAAAGAAAAATGTACCCAAGCAATTAACCATTTCACAGAATAAAGAGCAACCTTTCTATAGCAATTTAGAACTATATAGAGCAGTGCCATGTAGAAAATAGGACAGTATATTGTTATATTTATACATTGGAAAGGTTTAAAGAATTTGATACAATAAAAGCTGACCGCAGCCCTGTGAAGTACCCTCTGAAAGCAGATGCAGCGTTATTTTTTCTACTTTGGCAGTGAAGACACTGAGGCACCAACAATCAAGCCACTTGTCCAAGGTCACAGGCCACACATCATTGTTGAGCCACTTATACAACTTTGGTCTCTACCTCTATAGAGTGACACTCAACCATCCACACTGCCTCCTATTAAAATAGCTTACACATGACCCAGAATGAAGGAAGCAATTTCTGGCAAAGAGCTGATTTCCAGAGTCAGAGTTGGGAGCTATTTTTAAATCCAAGAATGATCTGGCTCTAGGCTATAGTATAAATACCCCATACCATTTTCATAAGTAAAAACGTTTAATTTTGTGTAAGACACTGCAATGAGTCCTTTCCCTTCTCCTCACTGGAATTTTACTGTTCTCTTTCCTGATACAGATCATAAATGCCTCTCTGAAAAAGAATTAAGGTAATACAGAAAGATATGGGCACAGAAAAATAAATAGCAGGGGTGGTGATTTTAAAGTAAATAACACCACTGTGAATAAAGGTCTTTCCTTTACTATGGTCTGACCCACACTATCTGTTGAATGAAGATGAATAGCTGACAGAATAAATAATGATCAAAAGAATCAAGAATCAAAACCGGAAATGTGAGAATGTGTTTTTTGAGCCATGTCCTCAAACAGAGCACTGGGGATGACATGGAGCAATGGGAGGGAGGACGAGAGCAGCTTAGTGAGTGCTGTGGTAGAGGAGGCCCTGTTCCCTCCCCAGAGGAAATACATGGCCCAGAATATTGTCACAGGCCCGTGAGGGCTGATCCCGCGTGCAGAGCAAGTGTAACCACACATGCAAACTGTATACACAGCATCTGCTGTCGTGCACGCTGGATTAGGAATCTCTACAGGTACAGATGCGCTTTGAACCTCTCTCTAAATCTTTGCTAGCAGAAAGGGTTCAATAATCAATAGCATGCGCCCATCCAAGTGTTGGACTACCATGCAGAGATGTCAGATTTTTATAATCAACCTTAAACTTTGCTCATCAGACATTTCCATCAAAGCTCCCCTAATGATCACAGATATAAATTCATATCCTTACGACGTTTGGTGTATCCCCAAAGCAGTTTTGGATTCTTTGTTATACCTAAAACACTTATACAAAATTTTTGTTATAAAGAATATTCCTGTTTTTACTTTAACATTAAAATAATGTTTTAAAATTACTACTACTAATTAAAATTGACCTCATAGGACAATGGTACTAGATTTAACCTTGACCATAAAATGGTTTTTTTCTAATTTTTTAAAAAATATCTCAATATATTCATATGAACACAAAGTTTTTGTCTGAGTTTAAGGACAGAATATTAGGGTTATAACCTCCCACTTACCTACCAGGCAAACCAGTGTTAGCTTGTCAATGTGCTGACAGAACTTAATTAAAACACCATAATAGAGCATAATTCTTTTTGATTTTAACTATGCCCCATATAACAGAAAATCTAAACTTCACTACAAAATCAGTACTCCCGGATATTTTTAAAATATGATTTTAAAGAAGCAAAATGAATAGTAGAAGACCCCAAGCTGACACACTTACCTGTGTCATTTCTCTGATGGAAGTTATGCTATCCAGTGCTTTCATTACTCGATCATAGTTTTTCTTCTATATAATGAAAAAGAAGAAGAATGTTCACTTATAAGCCTCTGCGAGTCTACTTACCAGGAGAGAAATATATTATTTCTATACATGAATTTTCCTCCAGAGTCAATGTGAAAGTGACGGCTGTTTTATGTACATAAAAGGGAAGACTGTAATAACATGGTTCAAGGACACAGGATTTATAACTACGGTCAGATGAGAAGAAAAAAGAAAACAATGCCATTCCTTATAGAAGGACACAAAAGCATGCTCAGTCTGCCAAAAGAAAATTTAGAAATACAAACAAGGTACTGGCCTCTTGATTTAGGCTTTCACCACTAAAACAGAAGGCAATAAAGTAAGCATAAAATCCTCCTAAAATACAAAACTCTAATTAAAATATCAACAGCATTTATTTTGTTTTGATTGAAATACAATATTGTTACTAAAAGAATATCATGACAGTATACATGTGATACCATGCACTCCACGAGTAATTAATTTTGAAACATGATGTACATATAGGCATTGCTACCACTTATGGGCAAAATGAAGCTCTTCAGGTGAATGTTATATACTCATATCTTTGAAATGGTTTTTTTTTTTTTTTTTTTGGTTTTTCTCTGGTACCAGGAACCGAACTCACGACCTTGCGCTTGCCAGGCAGGCGCTTTTGCCGCTGAGCTAAATCCCCAGCCCCCTCTTTGAAATGGTTTAAGGATGAATAAGAATAGAAACAAAGACAGTTACTTCTCGTGCAACCTGAAAATTTTATTTCAGAAGGATTCTGCCTTATCTCACAAATCTCTATAAAATGATTTTCAGAAGAAATGCCAGTCCATTAACAATATGAGTTCAACTTTCACTAACCTTCAGGTATCTGGGGAGGGAACAGGGAAGGGAAAGAAGGTGAAAGGAAAATAGCAAACCAAAAGGAAAATCTGTCTTGTTCTTTGTAATCCATAAAATACAATTTGAAATTCAAGAAAACAGACAATGAACTCAAAATAATCACAGATATGCTTAATAAGACAGACACTCAGGTAAAAAGAACAAAGCTAAGGTGACTGAAATCCCACTTACTAGGATTGGAAATGCTGCCCTTGGTCTGGGGCTAACTACTTACCCTGGGATTAAAGGCCAACATCTGAGGATCGTTAGGATCTACCACAGAAGGGTATGGCTCGAAAATGACAACTTTTCTAGGAGATTCCAATGCAGATCTACACATGGACACGAGTAGATCTACCACCTGAAAGCACACAGGAGAGTTACTACCTTTCATGCTTTAGCCAGTGATTTGCCATTGCTCCACCACCACCACCACCACCATGGTAGTGTAAGTTAATCAGCAGCCCGGGACTGCTCCCATCTCTTCATTCTGTAACTCACAGCCAAATGCACGCAGTAATTTCAAGTAACAAGCAACTGTTGTCTCTAATTACTCCCCCACTAGTATCTCTTTGTAAAAGGCACCTATGGTGGGCTAGCACTGTTCTAGGGCCCTGTCATAAGGCAACAATTCGTGCTTGGGTGGTGGGTACAGGCCAGTGGAGAAGATACATAACACAGTATCAGGAGAATATATTCTTCAATGGAATTTTCGTACTGTTCAGTGCTATAAAAATAGGTACCAGAGAATTACGCAGGAGGGAAAACCGTCTGAGAGTGGCTGGGGAGCTGGTGATGTCTCAGAACTCAGGGAGGTCAGGGAGGGACATGCACCATGATATGGGGAAGGTGAAGGAAGCCACACGTGCACGGAAGAGCTTGCCCTTCTCCAAGAGTGGCAAATCACCCCACATCACCCTGCCTCTTCCTGCTCCCCTTGTCAAAGTCCATTAATGACTGCTGGTCTCTAACTACAATGGCTTCCTTTATCCCGGGTCAGTTATCCTGTGATCACTTTGCAGTTTATTACGGGGCAGAACTACATATCAGCTAATCCAGCTCCCCATCCGGATGCCGAAACAAACACTCTGGTTTCTGGCAACTGAATTCAGAAAATTGATAGTGTTTGGAGGGCATACACCTGCACAGACGTAACTACAGTGTGGACACAAAATGGAAAGCTGTTTCTAGGAAGTTCTGAAGTGAGCATTCAAAAAGTATATAGTAGATTCTGGGCAATTCTGGTTTGTATGAGTTGAAGAGAGGGACATCGTTATCTAATGTCAACAAGGCCATATTGTCACAGTACTTATAAGACACACCCACTCAATCAGAACATCCGGATTTTCCAATGCCCAATTAGCAACACTCAAGACATTCCAAGCACTGACACACATATCCACAGGACTCAGAAAACACTGGAACCGCAGTAGGTATCACTTCTGATACACTTTTCCATTTATGTGGGCATATGCATGCACACACGTGTGTGTACATGTACACATATATGCAATGAGTTAGGCTCCAAGCAGTAAATGTAATGAAAAACCAAACCTTCCTCCTTGCAGTTCTCCTGTTCCGTCTATCCCACAGAGATGAACCCTAACTCTGATCAAACTGTTTACAGCATCATCTATTCTCCTAATGAAGTTAAAATGCAAACAAGGATTCCCCAGGAAGTAACTCAGTAAGATAAAATAGCCTTGTCCAAACCCTTTGGAGAGAGGGCATGGCAGCACAGACAGATATAATCTTACAAAAACCTGTAAAAAGTATGCCTTGATATGCAAATGAAGGCTTATTTCATACATTTTGGGGTCTAATAGCTTCACAGCGGAGTTAAGTAAGTTGTTCTGCTTACAGATGTACAATGTAATCTGACAAAAAGCAGATTTACAATCACAGAGCAATGGCTGATATATACTGTAACACTGACTCCTTATTTTTAAAACTCATATGCAAGCCCAGTACATAAACAAGAGTGTAGATCACAGGACCTGCGAGTCCCAGCTCCCCCTCCCCGCACAGCAGTCCTGAGGATAATCAGTGTGCTGCAGTCAACTGATGCGGAAGAGTCTTGAGGGCAAGATGCTATTCAGAGAAAGCCGTTACCAGGTAATATCTACAAGCAGGACTTGTATTTGGGCATCTCTTTTAAAAACCAAAGGGATGAAAAGAATGTTCTTTTTGAAGTAGAATAAAGTCACTGATACTTGGATACTGATCATCTTTACAGATAAATAACTAAATTGACTTGACCAAGTACTTTAGTGCATAACTATCACTAGGTAATTTCAAATTCCGTGCTATGTTAGAACCATTATTTTTAGAGATGTAATAATAAGAGGAGGGGAAAACATCTATTATTCTATTTAACTACCCTAATGTTAGGATGTCTTAATTTTCTTTGTAATTAATAATTTGCTATTTCTAGACATTAATTGGTTTACTTAAGGAAGAATTTACATCTGGCAAAATGTACAGATTTTAAGTGTACTACTTGAAAAATTTTAATGTATATGGACATACATATATATCTAGTACACATACCAGTCATCCCTCGCTATATCACAGCTCCCTTATTGCAGCTTCACTGTATCACAGGTTTTAAAAAAAAAAATCTAATTCTGTATCAGTTTTGTTAGATGGTGAGATTTTGTGGTATATAGGTATTTATGTAATATTTACAATTTTAATTATTTTTGCCTAAAAAATTTAAAATATAAAAAAGTTAATTGAAACATATTAAAAGAATATTAAATCAAAATAAAATACAGTATGTATCTCATCAGTGGATGAATACCATACTGTACCCAATGGAAATGCAGTATGCCACTACCACTTGTGCAAATTTGCCATTGTGAAATTGTACACAGCACACTATTGGCTGATGGAATGGAAAGCGACCAACTACAGCACTGTGTTCTGTATCCTGGGGGCTGATTGGCTCAGGGACCGTAGCATTGCTCCTCATTCAAGTTGTAGTATACTTCACTGGTGAGTACCCATATAGAATTTTACATGTTAAAATTACACAGGTTTAAGAGTATAGAAAGTGTTTAAGAGCATATGAAGTGTTTATACGAGTGTGGAAAAGGTTAATAGAGTGGGAAAGGTTTATAGGAGTGTGGGAAGGGTTTATCAAGCTATAAAACATATATAAATAATAAGATAAATATAATGCTGCTACTTCGCAGATTTTCACCTATTACAGGGGTCTCTGGAACGTAACTCCCGCGATAGGTAAGTGATCACTGTACGTGTTTTCACACACACCACACACATCTGGACATGGTTTTAATTATAACTGTAAATGTAACCTAATTTAAGGTCTCTAGTTTTGAGCAACACTGCTTCCAAGGGGTGAGAAAAACTTTCACATTAAAAACAAAAGAGAAGAAGAAAAAAAATTTTTTAACGGTAGACTAGATATTTTCTTTTAGGGATGCTTGGAGATTTTAACATACCAATTTGTACTTGCTGGGTATGGGGGACTACATCAAGCTATGTTATTGAAGTTTATTATTATTACTGGTTCTTTGACATACAGTCTCACTACGCAGTCGAGGCTGGCCTAGAATTCAAGGTAACCCCCCTATTCTGCCTCCCAAGTGCTGGGATTACAAGCATGCACCACCACAGCTGGCTCCGAAGTTTATTTTAATTATGAGATAATTTTTTCCATAACACTAAGACCATTCCATTTTACTGCTGGTGGCTTCATTTATAATTCATCATACCAAAAACACTGTTCCATGAAGTAGACGCACCACAGTTAATCAGTGAAATGACTAGGATAAGGGCCATGTAAGTCCACGAGGTTGAGACTGTGCATAGTCACCATTACGCAACACCTAACAGGAGGCCCGTGACATAGAAGGACTTCTGTACTTGTTGAAAGGGCGACCACTTTCCAGCGGATAGTCATTTTTCCTACCCACCTAGGTGAATTTTATAAACTAGAGACTGGCAATTTCTTTTACCTTTGTTTTCTCAGTGCCCTCACTAGGTGTCCATTTTTTTGAATTTGCATTATTTCCTCTGTCAGTCTGCAAGAGCGATCACCGTTTCCTCTCAATTTCTGAGCTTTTATATAACTGTGATTTTATATAATTGTGGTAAAAGTTGTGTTTCATACTTTGCTCCTAACAGTCACTGTCATTTCAAGTAGAAAGCAAAAGCTACATGAAATTTGGTATTTCCCCCTAACTACACAAATGCACTAACGTAAAGCACTGCTGTGGGTTGGGCATGCTCAGTTCTACTCACTTCTAATACATATACTGCCATTCCTTACGCTATTTGGAATTTGTTTTTGTGGACATCTCCCATATTGCAGATTCTCTGTTTCTATCTCACTTATAAAACAATTCTTAAAAAAATAAAAAAATTCTTATAGCATTGTATAATATACTTTTGCATATGGTTTATCTAGTATTTCTTAATTAACATTTATTAATTTTTAAAGGCAGCTCTAATTTTTATGTAATTTAGTAATTCAATCAAGTTGCCTACATGACCACAAACCAAAAAAGAATTTTCTTTTGGAATTGTATTTAATAAATTTTAGTTCCTTTTAAATTTATTTTTTCCTTTCAAGAAACATGGCATACTCCTCTACATCTAAGTTGATTCCGTATTACGTTTTATATCTTTCCTCCTATCTTATAAATACTGCTACTGCAAAACTGAATGTTCTCTTTTTATTGTTATGTTTTGCCCATTATCTTTTCACCTAAATTTTAAAAGTAAATTGACTCCCATTTTATGGCAGCATAACTTGACAAATACACCTTACACAACACATGCACAAGTGTCTCAATATCTTAACTTCACCCTATAAGAAAGAATTACAATTATCTTTAAAATTGAAGGAACTTGGTTACATTTCTTCCCCTGGGCAACTGCAAGATGACAAAACACACATTAGATGAAGAGAGAACATTTAGTTTATATCTACCTAAAAAATATTAAATGCCAGCTCGTCTTTGATAAGAAAAGATCAAAAATTTTCCCCTAAAGAATAGTAGAGTGAAGGTAACTATTGGACTGGAGCACAGTTTTCAAACCGAAATAAGCAGTGATCAGCATCCAGGGCTAGCAGTACCTGAGCTCCAGTGGCTATCTCATCAGCAGCCTCGTTCATTACTCCCAGTGTTTGGAAGGCAAACACACACAGCTCTCGTTCACACACGGTAGGCTACAAAAGAAATGGGAATCGATTACAGCATATGTTTCCTTTCTCAAGTCCTAGATTAGATGCATAACTTCCCATATAATAAACCAAAAGCTCAACGTTTTAGAAGGGGAAGCAAAATGTATCATTTTTAAAACTAAAAGTAAATTCATAAATTCAGGTAACAATAAGGAAAGAACTTACTAATACCGAGTCACGAATACGACAAGGAAGGTTGCATTATACTCAGCACAATCTAGCACCACATGAAGATATTCTCAAATAGGAAAATGTATCTCTACTGTTTATTATACAGTGGCACATGAAAGCACTTTTAAAAATACAAGAACTAAAGCTGGTGACATAATAAAAATGATGTGAAACACAAAAGCTATATGAAACAAACATATATGGAGAATTCTAATGTTTTCCTAAGAAATTTATTTGGATGAAATAAGCATGACTCTGCCACTTGCTACCCACCTCTTGAAAGATCAGTTTTGTTGCAAAGATTTTTGACTTCAATAACCTCCTTAAGTCGACAGCACTGAAATACACACTCTGCAATTACTTTGGAAGAGCTTTCATCTTTTAAATCTAATATAGTGTCATCCGTCTGATTTATCTTATCTTCCCAGTTACATTGCATTAGGCAGCTGATGAAGCCTAACACAGTGCAACCCATGGTGCCTCTGCGCAGCACCCGAAAGGCATTTGTTAGCGCCACTGCTCCAACGAGCACCGCTTTTGGAGGACGGCTTGGTCTGTTACTCAGCCGGTGGGGAAGTATGGCTCCATCCTGACCATCTTTTATGTTCAGAACAGGCCCGTATGTGTGACTTTACTGAAAAAAAGCCTGGCCAATCACAAAGATTTCTAGTTGACTCTCCCCTAAGTAGAATCTTAGGAGAAGAGGAAGACATTGATATATTTCCTTATCAGCTTTGAAAGTGCAATCTGATTCCTTTTCAGAAATGTTAGAACTGAGGGGAAATCACTAGAGAAAACTCCCCATCCAGACACAAGCCATACACACTGCTTGCTATATATACTCTTGGATGCACAGACCTGAGATTGTTTGACTTCCACTATTTTACTTCTTCCATGAATTTTCTTGTGTGTGTGTGTGGGGGGCAGCTATGCAACCTTGATCCCTATGGATATAAGATAATATCTTTTGTTCATTTTCTGGAGCATAGAACTTTGTATGATCTGAAGTAACAGTAACAACCACTTACTGCAAACTTACAGCACTGTCAAACACTGGTGTGAACTTGTGCAAACTGTATACAGCCAAGCGGCAGGGAGAAACCCTTGAAATTCATAAAGATGGACAGATACAGCAGAGTTGTGAAAGGCACTTTGTTTTGAGTAATGCTCTTGTTTTTGTATTTTAACAATGGGTCACTTTTTCATGACTAAAATCTCTCCATCAAGTAGAAAGCTAAATAATATGCTAAGGCTTACTGAGTAGCCTGGGTAATGGTTAGTTTGTTTTTTAAAATCTTTTTCAGAAAGAGTTTCACTATAAAATTCAGACTTGGCCTTCAGCTCACTTTTTGCCCAGGCTGGTCTTGAACTCGCAACAATCCTCCTGCCCCCGCCTCCTGAGTGGTGGGATTACAGGCGTGTGTCGCCACATCTGGCCTGATTAGTTTTATTTGACTCCTGGACAATCAACTATACTTACTTTGTAGTCCTCTAAATATAGAACTGTAAGTATATAGGTATGTTACATATGTATATACACATATGAACAGACACATATTCACCAGGAAATGCAACAACAGAAACTACCTTCTTGGTACCAAATTGTTTTAAACAGAAATAAAACAGTACACTACATTTGAAGATTAATCCAAATATTTTTAAAATACAAAAACAGAGAAAACTATGATAAACAGTTATTCTTATATATATCTATGAGAACAATATCACCACCAACCCCAGGTATTCATGGGCCAGCCTCACTTTATCTCAAATTATTCATAATAATTTCATCCATTATTTTAAGTAACAAAACTGCTTTTTTGCATGTGATACTAGGGGTCAATCCAAAGGCTTCATGCATAAACCTGTGTTCTTATGATGAAATTATGACATTATTACTTCATCAGCTCTTTTTTGCAATATACATTGCATAAATTTTAGGTTGAAATCACCCTTTTTTCCATATTTGAATGCAGAAGTCTGATTTTCTTTTTTAATATTCTGGTGCTACAACAGTTGGGAGAAAGAAATCAAGCAGTCATCTGGCAAACTAGAAAATTTCCTTTTGGAAAAACAAAGCACTTTGCTACCACACTGAAAAAATAAAACTACAATATACATTGCATAATTTTCTCTTCCCTTCTTCTTAATGTAGCAACTACAAAACAGTGTTGCCATTAACTTATTTACTATGCTAACACCATACTAAATAAATACTAATGAACTTTTAAAATAACAATTCTACATATATTGTTCCTTCTTTCAAAAGTTCAGGGACATTCCAGATGTATAATGTAAACTAATTCAAATTTGAGCTGGGCGTGGTGGACTTTAGGAGGTTGAGGCAGGAGGACTGTTGTGAGCTCAAGGCCAGCCTAGGCTACATAGTAATTTCAAGGCCAGTCTGGACTACATAGCAAGACCTTGTATCCAAAAAATAAAAGGAAAAATATTTGTGTATTATGTTTGTTTTGTAATAGTAATCTTGTTTATCCATATTCTCTACATCCAAGATTTTACTGTTATTAGTATTATTAATTTATTATAATTATTATGCATATATTTATAAGGCTGTTACCATCACATTGGGTAATGTAACATATTGTGACCATTTTTGATCTCTTTACACTTCCATCTTCTAAAAGTCTATATTTTGTTTCCTATCATCTCTCATTTTTTAAAATTACTTGTATTTTATTTTCTCATATAGGAGAAACTATGTGACATTCACATTTCATTTAAGAGTTCAAAATATCAACACAAGATGGCGCACTCAAAGAAAATTCTCCAATACATTAAGTGATCCATACTGGGAATCTCTGTTCACAGGAGCATCCTAACCAAGAACGAGACATTGAATCTCTCTTCCCTAATGAAACATAAGTAGTTCTATTGTGCATCAGTCTTCTCCTACCCAGACAAACTACTCCAACCTTGCGCACTTCTGCTCTGACTAGGTTATTTCCATAGAAAACACTAGCAGTCAATTCAAATACAGCACAGTCATGTAATAGCCAGTACGAGGTAAGTGTGATGATGAATGTTATTACACATACTCCACACAAGGTACACAGGCCTAATATAGCAAAGCACAAATCATTATTAATTCACTTTCTAGTTTGTAATAAATCAAGGCATTTCAATTTGTAAAATGGTACTTCTTCTTAATATATTATTATACTGCCTTGAAACAATTAATTCCTCTAGTTTACACTGAAAAACCGTGGCAACTCCCTCCACTGCCAACACAAATGTATTTACTATAAAATACTCATCTTGCACCATTTAAAAGCACAGGGAACTTTTACCTGTGTCCCTAGAATATGATTAATTTTCAGCTAAGGTGAATACATTCTTAATTTTATTTGAATCAAAAAATTTTAATGTGAGCAATAAAAACATGTTTCAAAAAACATTTTTAAGCCCTGAAGAATATTTTAGAACTAACTGTATTTTAGAAAATTTGTATGTTCAATGAATTTAAATTACTACTGCTTACTGAAATTAGAAATGCTACAACTCAACTAGGGAGATGGAAACGTTTGGTGTTGGGGAGTGCTTTTCAAACGCTTTTACTGTTTGAACAAATTTTATATAAACAAAATATTTCATGTCAGCTCCAAATATAAAGTATATAAAACTGAAGTTTAGGGAGAGGATACCAAGTGGTTATGGGGTCCCAATGCGCTGGGAGGCCGGAGAGAAAAAGCTACAAAAATGGCTTTCGCCCCAGATGGCTCACTTGAGATGTTAGTAAGAATTGCCTCCTCGGCATTCTATAGCTGTGAAGAGGAGGAGGCCAAGGAGAGAAAACAAAGAGATAGAGAAAAAGCAGCTGCTTTTGCTGCACAACTAAGAGAAACAGACCCTAAGTCTGATTCTGAGGGCCCCATGAAGAACTCAACGACTACATTCATCTGCTACCACTGTTAAAAGCCAGGCCACCTCAAGAGGGACTGTCCTAAGAAGCCCCCTGAGCCATGCCCTGAATGCAAAGAGACCACTGGAGATTGGTCTGCCCTCTGAAGCGGAGGCCCCAGAGCTCAGACCCATCCTACCAGTTAGTCCAACAGGAATGAGGGTGCCCAGGGCATACTCTGCCTTCTCCCTCTGGCCAGACTGTCATCTCCATGGAGGAGCCCTGGGTAGTCATGACTATACAGGAAAAAGAAAACAGCCTGTTGCTAGACAGGTGCAAGTCTCTCGGTCCTTATTTTCAATCCTGGCCTTCCTTCCAGCCATCACACCTCAGTGAAAGGAGTCACTGCTAAGGAGGTAATACACTATTTTCACCACCCTTAGGCTGTAACTGCTTGTTAGATCTCTCTTGCATATCTCTGTCTTCCTGAGAAACCACTTTGAAGATACCACCATGTATTACAGCAGCCCTTGATATTTTCCTACTAATCTGTCCATAACTCTGTAATGTTTGTATTGTTCCTATGCTATTTTGTAAATGGATGTATGTTTATTAT